GACCTTCTAATGGGATCCCTTTTGGAAGAGTTGTTAGTGGGGGCCAGAGAACCATCCAGTTCTCTGGTCTCAGGGTCATGGATACTGCTGTCCATTGAACAATTCTTTCCATGCATCTTTGATTTTCTTTACTATTCTTTTCTCTGGATGAGGAGAGATCCATCGTCACACCTTAGATGTAAGACGGCAGTCTCGACTCACCAAAGTTGTGCATACAACACTGTCTTTGAAACTATGTTATGACAGTTGACCTTGGTTCCCCTGAGACTTTTGGTCCTGAGCCCCCAGGTCCAATGACTCATTCCCTCCAGGTGGTTGTTAGTGTCTAAGGAGATTTCATAACTTTGTCCCCTGTATTCTCCATTACATTAATGGATATATTTACAGCAGAGGTAGATATGCATGCAGAAATATTATCTGTCAAACCTACATATATTTGTGGGTACAGTCCCACTTTCTCTCTCACACTCATTCAGCCTGCATGTCTTCCATGCCTCAGTGAATTTCCTCAGCTTGAAAATGTTCCATGTCTTTCATATTGACCTTGCCAGCCATGGATTTTTAAAAAATAGCATTCTTAATTGAAAGCTGCCTCAAACAACTTAGTCAAGACTAAGAATAGTAAATAGTCTCACTTTTTGTCAGTCTCTTTCCCTTCTGATTCTCTCGAGAGAAGTCTATTCGTTCCTGACTCTGAAAGAGGACTTACAGCTCCCTCAGAAATTTGGTGAAGATACTTATCTAGTTTCAAAAAAGTAGAAGCTACAATTTAAAGTCTTAATCATGTGTTTCTTTGTCATAGTTTTGTTAAATTAGTCTGCTTATCCCATAGCAAATGTGAAGGAGCTGAGAAGTAGAAAGATAAAATTGTATCATTCATTGGGGAAAAAAACACTATTTTTCCTGATTTTTCTGAGGATTTTATTAATATAAATTATTAGCAATATTAACATTTTCCAGTAGGGTAAGCTTTCTGTAAGCTTTAGGTGCTTTCTTCTGATTATGTGCTCAGGATGAGCAGTTGTCTTAGCCAGCTCCACCATTTCCAATTGTTGACAAGCTAACTAAAGTTAGAAACAGCTGCATGAATAATACCACAGCCAAGCAACCATCACACTCGGTTCTTTTAAAAATATGACCACAAGTTATGTAGGGATTATATGGGAAGATTTCATATAGGAATATATAAGTAATACAATTAGGTATGATTAGAGTTTTCAATCCTGAAGGAAGTTCATGCATATATTACCTCCCAGTTATATCTGCAGTAGTTCTGATTGAATTGGGAAAGGTACAAGAATTTGCATTTTAAATGGATATCCAGAGAGGAAAGTCCAAGAAACTGACAACTTATCCAGGGAGCTCATGTGTCAAAAAGAAGCTGATCCCATTTCACATACAAAGCACAGTTCCATGAACATGCTTTGGTCTTATTAAATCATCTTCAGAGGAAAGATTTACATTCTGAGACAAGCAGAAATAAAATTGCACTTGTCATTTATGTCTTAAATTTCTTAACCTAAAGTAGACTTAAAATACCATGGTTTAGAATTAGTATTAAGGATCCTCATGCAGTTTTTCCACTTACTACATAGTTTTCAAATCATGCATGGCATGCTGGGTATGTGAAATTGATCTTCCCCACATAAGAATGCAGATACCAGGTGATGATAGTCACTGTCCATTTCTTTATACTAAAGGTGGTTGTTGTTGTTATGTGCCGTGGAGTCAGTTCTGACTCATAGCGACCCTACACAGGGTTTCCGAGGCTGTAAATCTTTATGGGAGCAGACTGCCTCGTCTTTCTCCCACAGAACCGCTGGTAGTTTCGAACTGCTGACCTTGCAGCTCACAGCCCGATTCGTAACCACTACGCTACCAGAGCTGGTTGTTGTTGTTGCTAAGTGCCGTCGAGTCGGTTCCGACCCATAGCGACCCTAGTTGTTGTTAAGTGCCGTTGAGTCAGTTCCAACTCATACAGACCCTGCACAGGGTCTCTGAAGTTTTAAATCTTCTAGGGAGCAGAAAGCAGAAAGCCTCATCTTTCTCTCCTGGAGTGGCTGGCGGGCTCAAACCGTAGACCCTGTGGTTTGCAGTCCAGTGCTCATCATTAGGAGACACTACACTCTACTAAAGGTGGTAATAGATATCATATTCCAGTACGAAAAATCATACAAAGTTCTCTTTTCCAGTAGATAAATGTTAATGACAGAACATTTAAAAAATAATAACTGGCTTCCTCAGACATAGTAGTTACTACACCTATATTTGTAGATTTTAATTTTGGGGAAGAGTTCCTGCCAGTTTCATGGGAATAACTAAGGCTATAGCTTCCTTCTATCTCAACATTTTGTAACTGATTTCTTTTGTCCTTTTCTGCTAAAATCTAACACATACACATTTAAACAACAAATGTCATACAATTTAGTATCCATTGACTATTTCATAAATATACCCACTGATATTTACTCATATTTCCTGAGTTTTAGTAGAGTCCTGGTGTAGCACCATAGGATAAGCACTTGGCCTCAAGGTTGGTTTATATTGCAAGGTCAGCAGTTCAAACCCACCAGCTGCTCCTCGGAAGCCTTATATAGGGTTTCTGTGAGTTGGAACCTACTCGACAGCACTTAATAACAACAAACAATAGTGAATAGATTTCAAACTTTGATGCTGTAGCTAGGCTCTTTCATTCCTTCTGAATGTCAGTGATTTGTCAAAATGTTTTATGTGGTCTCCATGCTTGGGTTAGTTTATAGCTTAAAACTAATTTTCAACACTGTAATTTGCCACATACAATAAACAGCACTGATTAACTGTAAATTTGTCAGGTGCAAAATTGCATCAGCATAATCATTTCCATGTATACACATCTGCTAGGACTTTACAGATACATGTCTTCAAGAAGTGCTAAAGGTAAGGCCAAGATTCTGTTTTCACAATATGCAGAATTTGAAAGAAACATTTTGAGAAAGCATTTTCTAGGGCAGTTTTTTTTTTTTTTGTTTTGCCTTAGAAGTATAAAATCCAGCATGTGTGCACTTTACTCCCTTCCAAATAATTTGTTTGTTGTCATTTGAAAGAATTTTTTAATATGTGTTTGAGACTTTTTTTTTTATCGTAGCTCAGATTTATCAACTGTGACATTATTCATGCTTACTGTTAAATGCTTTCACAGTATGAGAAAGTTTACATTTTTTCTGTACTTTTCATTACTGATAATATAAAAAGAGAATTGCTTCTCCTTCTTGAATTCAGAGATGGACACAAAAAGGTTATGTTTAATGAAATAAGACTGCTTAAAATTTTTGTTCTGGTAAAGCTGAACTGTTTTTAAAATTGTCATGATCTAGAATCTATTCTAAATGCATAGTCATAAACTTTGTTTATACACAAGTTAGAATCATTATCTTTGAAGGCAACTGTCACTTGGTTTTTTTTCATTATTAAGCACCTTTTGGAAAATGTTCATAAAAAATGTTGAAAGAATTGGACAAAATTCTGCTAAATCTTACATTGGGTCTTTTCTCTCCATATATAATAATGTCTAATAATTGGCTAATATATACAATGACTAATAAGTTTAGATGATTAAGATGACAGTACTTCATTGACATCTGTCAACTAAAGAGCCCCTTGGAGCCTTAATGAATTTATGTGTGTTGGCTACAAGAGAACATGGAGAGGAGGAGGGAGCTAGGACAAAATGTCCCTTACTCCCCAGCACACAAAGAACAGAATGATGGGAAAGCTGATACCAAATAAATACAAATAAGACAGAGTTACTAGAAGTCTATGAAAAACAATGACAGTAAAAAAACTTTCTTACTTGGAGGCCAGGTATAATCTATATCTAGAATGCCAATTATAAATTAAATAGTATTAAGAATATGATTTCTATTGGGGAGATATATTTAGATTCACATTGTATGTCCACTTAGCAGATTTGTTTTCTATTGAAAATCACTTTGAGTACATTTTGTAGATTATCATTATTTTGAAGCAAAATTTTATGTATTAAAAGTGAATATTACAAGGGTTTAAAGGGGCTAGTTTTACATGGGTGCTTACCTTTGCTGCATACATATGTGTGAGTGTGATGGAGCATACAGCATGCAGAGTGATAAAAACTTCTTAGATTTTATCAGACTTTTTAAAGCAATGAGTTCCTGAGCTTGGAGGCACAGGACCGTTGTCTCAGGGAACACCATGGTCAATTGGCATTACCATGTTAACAAAGACAATGTTCTACATGCGACTTTAGTTAGTAGCAACTGGGATCTAAAAAGTTCATGAGTGGCCATCTAAGCTGCAACTATTAGTTTCTCCATGTGAGTAAGAAAGAAAAGTGATGAAAATTGAAGATGCTTGGAATCAATTAGTCCAATGGACTAATGGAACATGTCATGTGAGCATCAGTCTACACAATTCTGAGACCAGAAGAATTAGATGGTGCCCAGCTACCACTACCTAATCCTCTGAAAAGGATCCCATTAGAAGGTCCCAGATAGAGTGGCAGAAAATGTAGCGCAAAGCACAAAATTATTTTAAAAATCTGGAGCTTACTGATCAGAAAGAGATTGGAGGAACCTGAGACTATGGCTCCCACCACTGTTCATTTCTAGAAAGGAACTCACCCTCGTGGTTCAGTTTGCAGCCAAGCAGTAGATAGGTCTATAGGGAAGACAACAACACTAGTATGGTATGCAAACCATGGAATGATCACTCATTCAAGATCAAAAGGGCAGCATTCACCTAAGGACAAAGTTGAGAAGAGATGGGAAGGTGGGTGGACTGGAAATAGAAAGCAAAGGGAAGTAGCGGAACAACTGTTGTTACCGAGGGGATTGTAATCATTGAGAGGAAACCAAGTGCATGATTTGTGGAATGTAAAACTGATGGTCTTGTCTGTAAATCTTCACTCAATTCACAATGAAAAGGTGTTTTTTACAAGTATTCTCATTTTCAGGAAATCATCTCTTTCTTTTATTGAACTGCAGCTCAAAGAATCATTCAAAGATATCAAAAAGAAATTCAACAATATGAAGTTTAATTACTCTAAGAAAAGTGAAAAAGCACGGAATCTGAAGGCTCTTAAATATCAAATTCAACAAGTTGATATGTATGCTGAAAAAATGCAGGTAATCAGACACTGATGTGTATGTGTGTTACTCCAATTACTGCATTTTGCATTTATTCTAGATATCTTAGTGTGAGAACTAAAAAGGTAGCTTTATATTTTATAATAATTGGGATCTTTGGTTAAAATATATAGTAATAACTTGTCCTTTATGCAGATCCAGAATGGTTTCTGGTTTCTTCCAAACCTACCTGGTCTTCTCTGTTTCCATTCTTTCCCCGATGACACGCACATATCTTCCGTGCATTGTTCTCCTTCTCTTACGGTTACATCTGCCCACGAAGGAGCCTCGTCCACTGCCCTGTAATCTCTTATATCAACTTTGAGATGGCTAGATTATTTGAATACCTTTGCGGGACACAATGAGTTTATTGAAATAATTTTATTTGATGATCATTGTATTTTTTATCATATTATCAACGGTGTATATTAAATTCCCTATATGTTTGATGAATGTTGGAGCAATAAAATATCTTGAAGAAAGCCCATTCTTTGTGAAATATATTTGTAATAATTACAGTCTTGACCTACCAAAATGGTGAAACTTATACAAAGTCTTCAATTTTTTTCTCTTGATGTTCAATCAATATAATGTAATAAATGAAAACAGAATGTTATTCAAAACATCTCTTGTTATACAGGCTTTGAAAAGGAAAATAGAAAAAGTTGAGAACAGAATTTCTGACTCTTTTGCAAATTATCCAAATAATAAAGTTAATGTCCTTTTGGAGACCATAAAGGATTTGCAAAAACATGTGGAAGAGTTTGACAGAGTTGTGACAGATTACAAAAAGAACTTGGACCTGACAGAGCATCTCCAGGAGATGATAGAAGAGGTATTAACCCTTTGCTGACCTTTACATGCCAAAATTAAAAATTAGTCATGGGAGAGAAGTTGATTTCCATTATCTGGTCAAAAAGCACTTGTATAGAATAGTGTGCTCTGTGTGGTTCTGATTCAATGGCGTAGATTGATGCAGAGTCTATGAGAATTCTTAGTATATTAAAGCCACCCTACTCCACAGTCATGGATCAATCAGCCAGTTCAAATGAATTGTGGAAGAAATTCTTATTCATTGGCTGTTTATCTTTTTTTTTTTCCTTTTCTGAATGTAATAACCACACTTGTCTGTTAAAAAATGAATGAACAATTCATAAAATATCTTGTATGGGTATTTGTAAAATATCTTGATTGTTAACTATAAATCTTTAGATCTCTTCTGTGATTTTTTAAAAATTCCCTCCAAACTGAAATAACTGGTCTAGATGTTATTATTCCTATATTACATCTGATGAAATTGATCTCCAGAGTGAACCATTTTGCTGATCCATTTTACTAATATGAATTTTAAAGCATGGTAGACTTTTACGTGCTGACTAGATAAGTGTTTTCTATCTCTGGGTCATGTTGAATAGTTTTCTTAGTTAATAACTTTAGATCTGATCATTCTTTATATTACAATATATTGTGCTGATGTTGTCATAGCTTTGAGTGACTAGAGACTACCTTTCACATCTTATTTTAACATTTGACTTCCATCTCTCACAAAATAAACCTGAGGAACAATATCTCCCAACCTTTGATTTGCCAGGATTTCTTCAAGATTTGCTCAGAACAATTTGATAAGAATAATTAATGATTTTATGATTCATTAATCTAAGTATTAATAAATATTTTATATGAAACAATACCTTGGGAATAAACTGACAGAAACTAAAAATAACTTTGTAAATATAAAGGTTTCTTAAAACAGATCTCTAAAATGTAAAGATGTTGAATGCACTGATATAAAGGAAGAAAATAAATGTTGCTGCTAAGTGCCATTGAGTCTGACTCATAGCAACCTTGTATAGGATTTCCAAGGCATGGCTGGTGGTTTTGAACCACCAACCATGTGGTTAGCAGTTCAGTGCTTATCCTGCAGTACCAAACCAGGACTCCAGAAGAAAATAAATGCTACCCATTAACTCACCATTCATATTTTAAAGACTATTTTTTCCAGGCAAATACATTAATAAAAGAATAAAATACAATATGCATCATTTTCTCTTTCAATGTAATTAGATATTCTCTGTGACATGATTTTAATTGTTGTATCATAATTTATTTAATGATTCTCTATTAATGTTATATTTAAAAGTTATTTTGCTACTTTAAAGCAATACTGCATTAGCTATTATTATCATTAAATTTATATATCTTGCCCCTTTTCATGGCTATTTCTTTAGGATAATTGCCTCAAGTAAAATTAATATGTTGTTGTTGCTATGTGCCCTCAAGTCAACTCCAATTCATAGTGACCCTGTACTGGGTTTCTGAGGAGCAGCTGGTAGGTTTGAACTGCCAACCTTGTGGTTCACAGTCCAGTGCTTATCCTACAGCATCATACCAGGAATCCAGAACTAGTATACCAACTGCCTTTTAGAAAACTGTTACTAATTTACTCTCACTAGCAGCATAAGAAAGCTTCCATTCTCCATATTTACATCAGCACAAGAAGTTTAACTATCATACAATTATATTCGCTATTCTGTTCAGCAAGGACTCCTGGTGTGGTGCTGTAGGATCAACACTGAACTATGCACCACAAGGTCGGCTGTTCAAACCCACCAGCTGCCCTTCAGAAAACTCTACACAGGGTGGCTATGAGTCGTAACTGACTCAATGGCACTTAACAACAATATAGAGCAAGATATATATTTAGAATGTTCAGAATAGCCTGTATATTTCACAAAATTTGAAAAGATTCAGGGAAAAAGCCTCTGATTTTTTTCAGTTACAAAAATAATTACTGGTATTATTTTTGAGAGGATGAATAGTAGAGTATGCATAAATATATGAAATTGGATAAGTTAAAGTTACTATTTGCACGCTTCATATTAAAGAAAATCTATACTTGAAGTTCTTGAGTGTCCTTTGTATATAGCTCATTATTCTGAGACACAAAACATGTATTCACATAAGTAATGCAGTTGAGTTTTTAGATTAACATTGCATTAAGGAGGATCAAGATGTTCATCTTTCTTCTACATCTGCAATATAGGTGTGCCACAAAACTTGGAACTGGTTCATTCTGGTTCAATCTCCTGCAAATGATTTACATTTCCACTCCAGATACATTGAATTAGGATCTATTATTTCAACCAGCTCTTCGGGGGGTTCTTAGGGTTTGCTGTAGCTCAGTGACAGTTTTTTTTTTTTTTTAAAGTCAGCCCCCAACAGAGTGATGTGTTTCTATTTCTCATCCAGCATAAGTGTTTCTGGCTTATTCCTCACGTTCCATGGCATTCCTTCCATCACAGACGTTTATTTTTAGTGAGAAATTGTCTCAATTTCCACTGTGCTTTAAAAATATGACGATCTTCTATTTTAAAAAGGTCAAATTCTCTCCTTCAGATAATATTGCCTCCATCTAAATAGCATTCTTAAAAGAGAGTTTATTTATTAGCATATTTATAAGAGAATACTTTACCCATTTATTGTTAATTATTTCAGTGAATTATGTTGGATTTTTGTTTGGGGTTTGTTCCTCTTCTTTTTAGTTGACACTTGAAATATTGCCTGTTTTTATAAGTGTATAGCTTTCCTCTTAGCAATTATACTTCAAATAAATCTAAGAAGGCAGAAGAATCAAACATATTTCCATACTTTTTTACTTACCACTAGTGTCCAAGTGCAAAGTTATTTGATCATATTTTTTATATTGTCTTTATTATGACTTGGAAATTTTAAACTAATGGGAATTTAAAATTCAACATTTTAGAGTTCAAAAATCAGGAACTGTAGAAGGTAATGCTTCTTTAATCTATATCCCATTTTAACTTAGTGTTACTTTTGGTATGAAGATGCAAGTGCCACAGTTATAAGAGTTGGAAAATATTCCACAGAGTGCAAGACAAAAGAAGCAGTGGAAATTCTCCACCAGCAATTCAACAAGTTTATCATTCCCTCAATACCTCAGCAAGAAGAAAGGATTCAGGAGATCACGGACCTTTCTCAGCACTTATATGGTAAGATCCCTTTTAAGATAGCCAGTGATTTTACTATTGAACAAATCTATATGGTACCTAATCCAGCAGACAGTGAGAGCACCACAAACCCTCAGGGTCCTCAGTACGTGAACCTATTCTAGGAAAAGGCTTAAGATAAGAGTTCTTATCCAGTAAAAGTAAACAGTGGGAAATAGAGTGAAGAACTTTTGACAGCAGCAGTTGAAACCTGCTGTTTTTTAACAAGTTTGTGTAAGCCCTCCTTCACTAGTCTCTTTTCTCCTCTGTTCCTGTTGATCATCTCCAGAGTAACAGAATCAAAACAATACTCAGCTAAAGCAGACAAGACTTTTTTCTGATTTCCACTAGAGTGGTTTATGGAAAAGCATACAAAACTTCTTTACTACTTAAGTCATTGAGCTAACATTAGAGCCTACAGCTCTCTCCATTTTATGAAGGTTATTGGTTTTTGGATTAAAGAAAGAGATGAAAAATTCTCCTATGCTTTCCTCTCACTTGGGAATAAATACAAGAACTCCAATGATCATGTCACGAATTCAGCCTTCCTCTGTGCAATGACTAGGAATGATAATATAGTTGTCACCTGAGAAGTCTTTCTTAAAGAAGGAAGCACCCATTTAAGCCGCTGGAAGCGATGAGTCGGAATCAACTTGACAGCAGTAGATTAAGTGATGACAGTCCTTGAGGGATCTGAGGAGTAAGTATTGTGAATATCATTCACTGATATCATTCCAGTGAGACCAAGGGTAATGCCAGTGAGCAAACAAATCTAGTCCAGAGAGAAGATAGCAACAGGCCATACAAAATGCTTCATTTGGCTGCACACAGCTGCTGTCAGCTAAATATTTTCTCTTGTAACATGAATCACTGTTCATGGACCACCATAAAATTTTCATAGAACAATATAAACTGCACTGCCTAATATTAAATATTGAGAATGAATTATTCATGGTTTTCCAAAGGAAGGAGAAGATAAAATTGATAAAATATAGACAGAAAAATTGATGAAAACGAATGTTATACCTCCTTTTCACTTAGTAACTGTATCAGGGCACTAAAAAATTTGGAAGCATTCTGTTCCCATGGAGTCCTGGTGTGTGGCACTGTGGGTTAATGCACTGACTGCAAAGTAGATTTGAGTTGCAAGGTTGGCAGTTCAAGCTCACTAGCTGCTCATTGTAAACTCTATGTTGTTGTTGTTAAGTGCTGTCGAGTCGGTTCCGACCCATAGCGACCCTGTACAGGGGGTCACTATGGGTTGGAACTCACTCTACGGCACTTAACAACAATCACAACAAATGTTTGATGTAGGAGTCCTGGTGTGGCACTGTGGGTTAATGTGTTGGTCTACAAAGTCAGTTTGAACTGCAAAGTCAACGGTTCAAGCTCACCAGCGTCTCCTTGGAAAACACTATACAGGGCTGCTATGGGTTGAAACCTACTTGATGGCAATTAACAACAACAATAACAGCAACAACATATGATTGATATAAAGAAAACAAGACCTAGTTTTGCATTCAAGAAATAACAGCCTATGCTTACAAGTCATGGTGTAAACTGTAATACAAGTCAGCCTAATTTTTGAAATCAGGCAGTCCTGGCTTCAAACCCATACTCTTCCAATATTGGGTTCCAATCCCTACACAGTAAGTTAAAACCTCTTTAGAGCCTTAAGTTTCTCATTTGTAAAATGTGGATAGTAATAGAATCTGCATGAGGTTTACGTTACATAATGCATATAAAGTGCTTTGTTGTTGTTGTTAAATGCCGTCGAGTTGGTACTGACTCATAGCGACCCTCTATAGAGTTCCTGAGGAGTCGCTGGTGAGCTTGAACCGCTGACCTTGCAGTTCAAAATGACCTTGCAGTCCGGCAAATTAACCCACAGCGCCACACCAGGGATCCATAAAATGCTTAGTTACAGGCCAAAAGAAAGCATTACTCAGTTGTTTTCAAGTGCTATGGAGTCAGTTCCGACCCATAGTGACTCTGTATAGGGTTTACAAGGAACAACTGGTGAGCTTGAACTGCCCACTTTGTGGTTCAAACAGACCTTGCAGTCCAACACATTAACCCACAACGCCACACCAGGACTCAATGTTGTTGTTGTTATGTGCCATGGAGTCGGTTCCGACTCAGAGTGACCGTGTACAGGGTTTCCGAGGCTGTAAATCTTTACGGGAGCAGAAAGCCTCATCTTTCCTCCACTGAACAGCTGGTAGTTTCAAACTGCTGATCCTGAGGTTCACAGCCCAATTTGTAACCACTACGTTACCAGGACTCAATACATGGTAGCTATTTTTAGTTATTATTCCAACAGGAAAAAACTACAGTTTAACTGAAAATGATTAAGAACATTTTCACAAAGGTATAGGAGGTAGACCTGGAAGGACAGGAAGGAAATTTGTAGTGGAGAGGACATTCTCAGTATAGGAAAGAAGACTCAGAGGCTTTAGAGAATTTGAGGGAAGAGATACTAGTTAAGTTTGGCCAGAGATCAAAGATGGGAGGGTGACTTCCATAGGAAAGGCAGGTTGAAGCTATATTGTGGAGGGCCTAAAATACCATCCTAAGGAATTAATACCTTTCCAGGCAATAGAAGACCACTGAATGTTATGGCAAGAATAAATTTGATTAGAATTGAGATTTAAGAATATTAATATGGCAATGTTATGTAGGTTCCATAATAGCCAGCAAATTTAACTACTTTGCTAGAATATCAACTTTTTTAAAAAGTCTCTGTTTATTTGTATGCACAACAAAAATCTATTAAAAACTAGATGATGAGACTTTGCCTCTTGTACTTTGGACATGTTGTCAGGAGGGACCAGTCCCTGGAAAAGGACATCATGCTTGGTAAAGTGGAGGGTTAGTGAAAAAGAAGATCCCCAACATGATGGATGGACATAGTGATAGTAACACTGGACTCAAACATAACAAATCTGAGCATGGGGCAGCATCGGGCAGTGTTTCATTCTGTTGTGCACAGGGTTGCTGACTCAATGGCACCAATAATAACAAAGTCTCTACCAACTCTATCAAGTCTCTACTAACACCAGACATGGGGGATATGAGTTGATGGCTGGATTTTAAAAAAATTCTTGCTACAGATTTGACCTTTAATACTGGTTTTATCCTTTCATCTCTAGGTTTGGAAGAAGGGAAGAAGTATGCTGAGAAAATAGAGGCAAAACACAAAGAGGTTCTTGAGTCTGTTACTGAATTGTGTGGATCTCTCACAGAGCTTGAGGAAAAATTGAAGGTAAAATCTTCTTCCAAGAATATGCATTTTGAGGGATATAAATGTCTTGTCTTCTAGTGCAAAGATGTTCTAGTAGAAATTCTCAAGGGACATGATGTACACATTTGTTTAGCAGCTGTCTAACATACTTATCTGGGTGATTCTGATAATTAATTCTGGTTGTTGTTTTTTTATATCACTACAGAGAAAAAATATTGCTGAGAATGAGGGCTAAACACAGCTAAGATGTCTCATTTACATTTTCATGGATCACATCCTAATGGATAAATGTGTGTCATTAAAACCAAAGTAAAGTCTATATAAAGTAGCCTTTTGCTTTTGTTTGCAAATGATAGGTGTAAGGTAGTCTATTTTGTCCCCTTCTAAATTGTGGCCCCAGCGGAAATAAAACTAATCTTCAGGAATTATAGTCACTGAATATTTAACTTCATGTAAATATTAAAGTAATCATTAGTTTCTTTGATTAAATAAAAAAATGATGGCAAAACTGTAGAGAACACATGCTTTAGTCTTTGTCTAGGTGAAAAAAGAGAAATATAATATTGTTTTGTCTATGTCAAGTCAAAAACTGGTTGGATTAATGCTGTCTTTATAACTGTTCGTAGGAACTGGATAGGGAGAACAGCAAAGTAATTCAAAACACAGGCTCTAGAGAAAAATACAGCTGCCTAGAGGTACCAATGGAGTCCTGGTGTGGCACTGTGGGCAAATGTGTCAGACTGCAAAGTCATTTGAACTACAAGGTTGGTGGTTCAAGCTCACCAGCTGCTCCTTGTAAACCCTATACGGGGTCGCTATGGGTCAGAATCGACTCGACGGCACTTAACAACAACAACGAGGGGTACCAACTCCCCAACTAGACTTGTGACTTTGGGTAAATTGCTTAACCTTCTAGATTCAGCTTCTTTATCTGTAAAATGGAGCAGATAGCAGAACTAAACACAGGGTAGCCCCAAGATGAATTCAATGACGATGACTCCTGTAATTATTCTTTTACTTGCTGTTATTGAGGCATAATGGGGTTGTTGCAGTTTAGAGCAGAATATTTACTTCTGTCACCCATCTTTTTACCATTTTAAATGATACTATAATGAATATCTTTGTGCATATAGCTTTTTCTTTCTCTTGCATTATTTTCTATGGATAGAGTCTCCAAAGTATGAGAGTGAGTCAGAAATTATCCACACTCTGGTTATATTAAAATGCTCATCCACATCCATGGCTGATGACAACATTGAGCAAGTACGTGAAATGATTCTGTCGAATAGACAAGTGACAGTGGATTACATAGCAAATCATTTACACATCAGCCATAGCTCTGCCTATGAAAGAATCCATGGCAGACTTGAGTTTTGAAAAGTTTGTGTCAGATGGTTTCTGAAACAACTCACAGAAGAGCGAAAACAGAAGCATTTGGACATCTAGAAACAAAATTTGGAGCAATGCTTGAAGGAAGGCAAAGGTGTCTTTTAAAAATTGTTATTGGTTATAAGACATGGATTCATCACTACAAGCCTGAGAGTAAACAGCAGACTATTGGATGCAAACATCCTCAATTGCCAACCAAGAAAAAGTTAAAAAGTCAGCTGAAAAACTGATGCTTACAGTTTTCTGGGATTCCAGGAAAAAGGTTCAGCAATCAACAGTGCTCGATACAGTGAGACATTCATTGCAGAGCTGAATCCTAAACTTCAGATTAAATGCAGAGGACTGTTAACCAAGGACATTGTGATCTTGCAGGACAATGCATATCCTCACACCTCTACCCACATTGTTGACACTGCAAAAACTTCCTTTTGAGGTGGTAAAGCATCCTCCCTATAGTCCCAATCTTGCTTCCTCAGACTTCCACATGTTTGGTCCCCTGAAAGCAGCCCTTCAATGATGAAGATTCACCATGAATGCAGAGATGCATTCATGGCTCGCAGCTCAGCTTAAAACATTTTTTAGTAAGTGAGTCTGAAAGCTTTTTGGCAGATGGACATAGTGTATTGAAAAGCAGGAGATCATGCAGAAAAACTATGTATTTGTTTTTTCTAAAAGTTGATTAAAATAAATTCTACAGCCAGAGTGCAGATAATTTTTGACTTACCCTCATACATTTGGCTAAATGGATTATGAAATTATTTATATCTCATAATCTCTTTTTCAGCATTTATCATTTTCTCCCTCCTTCCATCTACCTCCTGAGGATTTGTTTGTTTTGCTGATACTCAGATTGAAATCACGGCTTTCTCTGATTCTTTGCTCTCCCTTGCCTACAACATCCCTCCCATTTATATTGTATAACCTTAAGCAAGATTCAATTTAACAAATCTACTCTCTCTAAGTCATATCCCTTCTCCCTTTCATCGCTATTCTTTCTGAAAGACTTGTCTCTATCCTCCCCATTTCCTATTTCCTATTCACTCTACCTCTTCAGTAATTAGCATTGTATCTTTTCTTTTTCCTTCTCAGTCCACTATTTCAATTATCTTTTGCACCTATTTTGTGAGCCTCTTATTTATAAACAAAAATACATTTCCTAAGTACAGTGTGTGGTGGTCTGAGTTGCTGTGATTCTGAGGGCTATGCCACCGGTGTTTTAAATAACCAGCAGGGTCACCCATGGTGGAAAGGTTTCAGATGAGCTACAAAACAAAGAC